AGGAGTGGCACGAAGAGGTGGGAGGGAGTGATTTCCAGTGATTTCTGGCACAAAACCACTGGGCTGAAGAAGGGGAAGGAAAGGGAGCTGTGCCCAGGAGCCGTGGGGGGTGTGGGCTCACTCCGTTGAGGGGAGCTTCTCTGGCAGTGTTTGGATCTGAGCTCTGCCCTAGGGCTCTGTGGTAAGTTTGTGCAGGCCCAGGAGTGTGTGACACTGTCTCGGGTGGAAAGGCAGGCCCAGGAAGCATATCAGGGCCCCTTGGTTCTTGCCACGGGCCTGTGACGGAAGGGGGTGGGTGTGACTGACGGCTTGTGGCTGCTTCCTCCCTGGATAGAGCCGGCCTTCCTGCACGCTGATTCTGATCAAGAGTGGAGACATTTTCAGGGGTCCTGGATCCAGTCAAACTCTGTTTAATCCCTAACACTGCCACCCACAGTCTCTTCCCTTGATCAAGAGCAGGGCCTTAGGACTCCTCTTTTCCTTGATGGACGACAACAGCTGGAGGGAAGTGTTCTGAGGGGCTTTGGAGCTAGAGGCTGATGCCCAGGTTTGCTCTGAAGGGCAGGAGTCATCCAGGGCCACCGGGCGAATTAATGGAAAGCCTCCTTTGCCAAGGTAAGGGGAACTCACTGAGGGTATGTGCGGTCATTAGAGGGACCTAGACAGGCCTGGTTTTTGGTGTTCCCAGCAGTTTAACCTTTCTGTCATCACTCAACACCCCTCGCCTTCCTGGGAAAGCAAGCTCCTACACAGAATGGGCCCCAGCACTTCCTCTTCTCACCTCCTTGTCTGGCAAGGAACAGACTGATGCCTCTTTCTGATGGGACCCTTTGTCACCTGTATGGGGCAGGAAGGTGAGGAGAATGGAGATCACTTACATTGATTTGACCCTTTTTCCTCCTGGTGTAGAGATTTTATTTAAACCCATGGTTCTCCAACTGGGATTTGGGGATGAGAAGAATGTTCTGAGCAAGTTCTGGAGAAAGATGCTGGGGCACTCTGGGGTGTACCATGTTCAGGTAATGGACCCTATCGGCCTGTTTCTGGGCCCTTTCTTCAACTTCCCAGCCTTGAACAGCCACTTTTTGCTTGGGGGAAGAGTGGGAGGATAAGCTAGGCACTTTATTATTATCCGTATTTGTTCAGTGGTGAGGTCACGGATGAAAAACTCCCCAAAACATAATTTTACTTCCAAATGTAAATACAAATGATGTCTTCTTTGGTTCCTTCCAGCTTTAACATTTGGTAGATCCCAATTAGAAGTGAGTTCCCAAGCAGAGAAAGGGCTGAGACAAGAATATGATAGAAAAGCAGGTGAACAGTGAAACACTATAGTCGAAAACCAGAGAAGCTGAGAAAGTGATATAAAGAAGCCCATCTCAAATCAAAAGCAACCAGTAGGCTTTTCAGGGAGAGGGATGCGAGCGATGCCTGCCTCAATCATCTCCGCAGTGAGCACCCTCCCTGCTGTCCAAAACCTGTGGCCAGCCCACCCCCTAATGGCTTTCTGGAGTCTCCAATCTCAGCCAGTTGCCCCCGCACACAGCCCACCAAGCCCCGACCCCGACCGTGTCATTCAACAGCAATTACCGGCTACATTCCATTTGCCCAGAATGCTTCCAAGTTGTTGGGATCCATGTACGAACAGAACAGAACAATTCCCTGTCCTTGTGGGGCTTACATTCTAGAGGAGGGAGACAGACAATACACAATAAACATACTAAATGGGAAAATTATATAGTATATCAGAAGTTAAGGAGTGCTATGGAAAAAGACCAAGGAGAGCTGGGTAAAGGGGATCAGGAGTGTATGTGTGCGGGGTGGGGACACTGAGAACATTTGAGCCAGGGTTTGCCAGGAGTGAGAGAGTTGGTTGTGTGGATATTGAGGGTAAAAGTGCTCCAAGATTTAAGAGTCATAAAGCAAGAGGCTGACTGGCTTGTTTGAGGAGTTGTGAGGAGGGGAGCAAATAGAAGCTGGGGTCAGAGAAGTAAATAGGACGGGGGTGGCAGATCATGGAGGTCCTTGTCAGTTATTGTGAGACTTTGGCTCTGGCTCTGGTGACATGGGAGAAAGGGCGGGGTTTTGAGCAGGAGTGGCATGATCTTACATTCTACTTTTTTTTAAAAAGATTTTATTTATTTATTTGAGAGAGAGAGAGCACCAGAGAGAGCAGAGAGCACAAGCAGGCTGTGGGGCGAGGAGAGGGGCAGAGGGAGTGGGAGAAGCAGGCTCCCCGCAGAGCAAGGAGCCTGATGTGAGACTCGATCCCAGGACCAGACGCTTAACCTGAGCCGCCCAGGCGCCCCTGTGCTCTTACATTTTAAAATAATCTCTTCAGCTGCTGTTGAGAACTGGGTGTACAGGAGTCAGGGCAGAAGCGGACCAGTTAGGAAGCTGAAAATATTAGAGTCATCCTCAGTTCCTCCCCCTCCGCCAAACTGTTGGATCTATCTAAATACCCAGGTTCTGGGGGCTTCCGAACACGAGCCTTCAGCTGGGCTCTCTGCACTCTGGCTGCCAACAGACTGAGCTCCTCAACACCCAGAACCGCCTAGGACTGGAGACCTCCCCATGATGTACGCAGAACCTGACACTTCTTGTCACCTCCATTGCTCCTGCCTGGTCTCAGCGGTCCAAGGGCTGCAGCCTGAGCCCCGTGGAGGAAGGACGTGCCCTCCGCTGTGTTGTGGAAGGCCCCGAGAGGAGCAGGTGTTAAGAAGAACATAAAGAGTTGCGTTGTGGGAGCGCGGACTTGAGATATCTCTGAGCTGTCCAAGGGGAGCTGTCCACTAGGCAGTACAACACAGGAGTCTGGAGTCTGGGAGAAAGATGCGGAGATATAAACCTGAGGGTGATTAGCACTTTCACGGTGAGAAGAGAGAACAAGGAGTGGGGGAAGAGGAAGGACCAGCAGGGGACAGAGAAGGAGAAACCAGTGCAGAAGGATAACAACCAGGACACTGAAGTGTTTTGGGAGGCAAGGAAAGCGATGAGGTCAGGGAGGCCGGAGGGACAACGGCATCAGACGCTGCAGGTAAGTTAGGAAAGTTACGGAGGAGAATGGAGTGTTGGCTTTGGTGGCATGGGGGCCGTTGGTGACCTTGTAGGAGCAGTCACAGCAGGAGGCCGGGGCAATGACTGCTTGAGGTGGGTTCGAGGTAATGAGGGCAGAGAGGAATTAGAAATAGGAAGTATGGGTTATTTGGGCAAAGCTCGGGAGTGGGCAGAGGGCACGTCCGCTGTGTGTTCTCCCTCCTGGCTAGGAAGAAGCCAATATGAGGGCTGCGTAGTCAGGACAGTGTCTCCTGTGTGTCCAGCGGTGGTGGGGATAGGTCTCCTGCCTGGCCAAGTGGCCGAAGATGCTGCACATTTGTACTATTTCTCAAGCTCTCCACCCTCAGCTCCCTGGAGGGAAATGCAAACATGACCTTCCAGTGGGGTCTGTCCCCTAAAGCTCTAGCCATGGGGATGAGAAGTCTCTGGATAATCCAAAAGGCTTGATGTTGGGGGAAGGTGGTAGGAGAGGGTTTTAGTAATAGGATTCAATCTGCCAGGAGGGAATATAAATTACTTGTCCACCAGTCTCAGCCCAGACAAAAACAGATCATCTGCCAACCATTTTATACTTAATTTCTTTTTTTTTAAAAAGATTTTATTGACTTATTACTTATTTTTTAAGATTTTATTTTTAAGTAGTCTCTGCACCCAATGTGGGGCTTGAACTCATGACCCCGAGATCAAGAGTCACACGCTCCTCTGACTGAGCCAGCCAGGTGCCCCTATACTTAATTTCTAAGTCCAGGTTGCTGAAAACCAGGGGCAGAAGTCACTTGTGCAAGGAGTCGTTGGTTTTGCTAGTCATAGAACACCAGCTGGAAGTCACCTTGTGTGAGGACAGATGCTTCCTTTTTCCTTGTCCCTCCTTCCTACTGATCTTCAGTCTCCAGACACCCAGATCCTTCATGGGGCTTCAGCTGGGGTCTCTCCAGCTCCCTGGACCCTGGCTGCTGGCAGTCCAAGTTCCTCCACACCCGGAATGCCTGGAGACCCCATGTGAGGTGACAACAGAATGTCCCACGGCTGGATCTCTAGGAATACGGATCTTAGAGCAGCAGGCTTTGGGGGTAGGGCAGCCCTAGGCCACAGGGAGAGAGGCCACAGGGACACTAATGCAAAGAGGATTAAATAGTACCTGGCCTCGGGGAGACTGATCACCTTGATGCTGCTTGTTAGTATAAAGAACAAAGGGAAACGAGGAGCACTTTTTTCTCCATATAAGAATAATAATTGTGTGTGATAATAAGTGATAGTTTGTTACCATTGTTAGTTAATGACTCAGCCCCCAGTAGTGGTCAGACTACTGTTGATTCTGGCACATAATGGCTCATGTATGCTCACCGCTGGGTTGCTCATGTGGAACCTCATCAGTTTAGGCTTTAAAATATTAGCAGGAACATTACAGAGGACACCACAGAATGGGTTCCTTTTGAGAAGGGTGGCCTGCAGAATTTCTAGGTTGGGCATGCGGACTCTCCCAGCTCATGGGGAAACATGCCAGGACATTTCAGAATTTGGGGAAGGAGACTAACCTGCTGGAATGGGAGAGCAGGTAACTGACGTCCATCCTCCATCTCTAGGACTAGCTCCATCTTTTAATCGTGGTGACCTGGGCTTGAGTGGGGAAAGAGGCAGGGTGCCCCATGGGACCCCCACGTCTGCATCTGGGCCCCTCTGGAGCCCATCACTCCCCTGACCCCTTCCCCTTGTTGGGCCAGTGGCTCAGCTTATGGAGTGTGGACCTTGCCCCTGTGGCCAGTTGCCCACGTGCTCCAAGAGGCAGAGGACGAGGGGAGCAGAGCTGACCATGGAACCCACTGCAGTTAAACATTGGCTCGGTTTATTGGGAAAGAGCAGGTAGCATAAAGATGGGGGGGAGGGGCTCAAGCTGGGCTGAAAATTCTCTTTCTTTCTCTCTCTGTTCTCTTTCCTTTTCTGCCATGTTTTCAACTCTTAGCAGTAACTGTTCATATCAGCTACTGAGTTCTCTCTTCCTGAATTTTCCCTTCCTGCTCAGTAAGTCTTGGATTGATTTATGGACTTATTAGGCTGAGGTGTTTATGATCTTCTTTCTTTTTTTTTTTTTTAAGATTGTATTTATTTATTTGACAGAGAGAGACACAGCGAGAGAGGGAACACAAGCAGGGGGAGTGGGAGAGGGAGAAG